TTAGATTGATATAATGTTCAAATCATAAAGGGATTTTTGATCTCGTTGAAAGCGGTGAAGTATATCCTGATCTCCTGAGTCCTAACTAAGAAAGTATTACCTTACAGAAAATTGCAGCTAAATAGGCAACGTACACATGAAGCTGTTATCAAAGTTATGGTATATATTGGTAATATTGTCTAGTTTGGATGTATTTGTGCTCTTGTGGGTTGAGGAAAATTGTGTGTACGGGACCAACATAAAAAGTGGTGATTATAAGATGTCAACCACTTTCGACCTGAAGCTGCTAGAGATACTGCCAGGGGTGAAAGAGGTGTTAAAATAAAGACATAGAAAGAGGAGTGGAATACAGAAGTATTTGACACATAGAGAGAGGAGAGGAATAACACAGATGTTTTAACAGAAGGTGAGGTAAGAATATAAGGTAAGGAATAAAGTAACGCAGTAAGAGGAGGTATGAAGATATTTATAGCTGTTACTTTAAATAAGACTGGTATGTACGGTAAATGTGAGTTTTTCGTTTGATGTCTTATGAAGAGATAGATTATTTGATGTGATAGCGGAATTAAAAGATATTAGCTCAGAAAAAAAAAGTTCAATGAAACGGACTAGGGATTGAAATGTATTTGTATGATGACGTAGATCAGGGATATGGAATGGTTTGGTATATTGGATTTGGCTGATACTATTATGGGGATCATAATGCTTATTTGTCTACCATACCACTTTCTCTACTTAATGAAGACAAAAGTACAAGGCTATAAATTTGGTAGTCAAAAAAAGGGAAAAGAAAATGTTAATAACTACTATAGAAAATATTTTCCATAAGAATTCAGTTGTCGAAATAATTGTACAAAATATAAGCAGGTATTCGTTCTCACAAAAAAATCACTACGGGATAATTTATTTAAGCATGCATGCATACATTTACTTTGTATGTGACACCGCCAGCCCGCCGACATATGCAAATGCTTCGGAAGAGCATTAATTCAACATAAAATATAAATGTAACATTTCTACTGAGCCAATGTCAAGGTGTACGGAAGTGGACTGAGTCAGTTAATAAGTTATTTCTTACATAAGAGGAATTTAACAGTATGTGTTAAATTGTTACAGCTGTAAATCCTATCTTAAGGTACCTAATTTCTATTGTCACATGTTCTTTTGTCACAATTAACGACGAAGGAGATGCAGATTATTGTGGTCGAGGTCATTCTCCTATTTCTATTCCTACCGACGCATGCACAGTGGTAGTCTGCGTCATTATGAACAGGAGCAAGACCTTTTGTTTGTTTGTATGCGAATGAAATCTCCCTAAAAGGCTACACCAATTTTGTTTATACAATTGAGATTTTTTAAGATGATTTTTTACAGGTCTATTAGTATAATGTTTTTTTTATACCTAACAGGCCACTCAGAAAGTTTTGCGAAAAACAGGTTTTTATGTATAAGACACTGGCCACTTGTAATTATTTTGAAAACTTCGATTATTTAAAAGTAAAACTACTACTGTTCGATTTTAAAATTTCCCTCCGCGTTCTTTCGAGAGTCAGTTAAATTTTTCTTGTCTCATAATAAATGGATCTGCATCTAGAACATTTTCGCGCTATGATTTTTTACGATTTTAAATGTGGTTTAAAACCTGATGAGTCATTTGATCGATTTCGAACTGCTTTTACGGATGAAGGACCTTCGAAAGCAATCATCTACCGCTGGTGTAGCGAGTTCAAACCTGGTCGTTTTACTTTGGGGGATGACAAAAGAGTGGTCCTACGAAGGCTGTCACGGAAGAATTTTATTGGTATTTTTTTTCACACGTTGGGTTACATTATCAAAGTTTTCATACGGAACCCTAACTTTTTTTTAATACTCTAAAACCTATGTTCATTAGGGATAATGGAATGTTCTAAATGCGAAAGAATTTTTCAAATCGGTCCAGTAGTTTTGTAGCATATTCAATATAATCAAACAAACAATCAAATCTTTCCTCTTTATAAATTATTTTAGAAATCTAAAGCGACAGAAATGTAGGGGAGACCGGGGCAAGACGAAGCTCGGGGCAGGACAGGAAGTGTGCTTGTGTGTGACTGGTGAACGCAACAGAGCTTAACACAGCGCCATTCGCTTGATGTTCAGCCGCGTCACATGAGGCCGGCGGGTGCGTATTTGTCACTGCGTGTTTTGACTGCGTGGCGAGAAAATACAGATTTTGGGAGGATTTTTGCGAAGTTTCTGTTTTGGATCGATGTGCACCAAGGTAGGTATCAGTACTATTGTATTATTTTACTACATACTTGTTGCAGGAGTGTTAAACTAACTAATTAAGTTAGTTTAACACTCCTGCAAGTATCCATTAGTAGCCAAAGCAAGATAATTCATTTTCATAAATGGACGGTGTAATGGTCTGAACTCAGTTGGGATTGAAATCCCCTAGTGAATTAATTTAAGTTTCGAAGCAGGAGGAAGCAGAAATGTTTGGTCAGGCAAGCGTGTTAAATGAGTGCACAAACAAATGAGGTTGCTTTACGTTAGACTAGATTTTTTAAATCTTAGGTGCCGGTATCTGCCCCAACCTGCCCCCCGTTGGCGACGACCTTGGATTTATCATAGTTTTAAATTCTTAGGAAAGCAGTTCAGGACAGACTCAACTACACAGACATTTCACGAGCATGATGAATTAATACGATGATATGTATGGCAAGGGATTTTATATATCACACTGCGGTGGCGACACTCTTAACGTTCTTACGGAGGGTTTTTCACCTGCACCCGGGCGGAAGCATGGCTGTTTTATCGTAAAGTTAATGAAAGAAGACCGGACGATGCCTGCCGCGGGTGCCGCAAACTATCGCGCAGTCAGCTGGCGTTAATCGCGCCAACGTGATGGAAGTTGACCTCAACACAATGTGATGGAAGTTGACCTCAACATATATTTGCAAGTTTGGTGTCAACTTTCAATTGGACGACACTGTATGAAATAAAACAGGGAGAAAAAAACAGACCTTGCTGAGTTTCTTGCCGGTTCTTCTCGGTACAAGGTCTCCCGCCGTTTTGAACGGGCGCGGGTGGAAATCGCGCCGTGAGTCAACCTTATAACACCGCGCTGTGCGATGAGAACGTACTAAAATGTTAGAAGCACCCAACGAAGCAAAGCTCACAGCAACAGGGTTAGCGTAAAGCCTATCTAACGCGCAGACCGTCGCTGCGCTCATTGCTAAATCAAAGGTTGTGGCCAAGCACTGAAGGTAAGGCAATTGAGATCAAATTCAACGTGCTTGAGATTGTTTGTACATGTGGTGTGCAAACCATCGTGCTTGGTGTTGGCAGTACCGTTGCCGATGGCGTACTGCTGCAGTAGGTCCGTCATGTTGATGTGCACCACGCCGCGCCGCTCCTGCATCAAGTTGTCGCAATGTGTCACCTTGCCGCTGCCCGGACCACCTGCAGAAATGAACAATTATCATTATTAATGTCCCCACTGCTGGGGCAAGGGTCTACCCTATGGATAGAATCGGAAGATTGGGCCATGACCCACCACGCGGGCCCAGTGCAGATTGGTGGGTCTTAACGACTGCAGATGTGAAAGTGCTTTCCGAAGGAAGCACGGAGAAACTCAAAATAGTAATTTTTTCGCTACCAACCACTGCGAAAGTGACTTAACTTCGACGATCGCTGCCGAACGCGCTAACTACTTGCACCATCGAGCTCTTCTCATTCTTCATCACTCTTTATCACTCTTTATCATTCAATGTGAAAGTCCTCGTCGTAGCATATGCACGCCCCACATATAACTGATGGAAGATAAAATCACTCGGCTTGTCAAGAGATGGCATTACAGGTGGCGCACTTAATATTATGGAAAGCCTACATCGCGCTAGAGAAATTCAAAGGCTAATTTATCATATATACAATGTCCGACCAACACCGGTCGGGGCGCGGCACTCAAACTAAGATATCCGAGCTCAGTAGAAGATCATCCCCTTTAGCCTTGCTACACTGGTCACCAGCCTATTGATGTCCCTGATGTGACTCGAGTTCTGCATGGGGAAGGAAGCGCCAGGCGGCGTGGCGCGTCCCGCCCTTGTGCTCTATTGGCACCAGTCGAAGAATATAGACATTAAAGACACATACCCAGCACGATTGTGACCGGCACGTTGGTCGATTCAAACTTGATGTGACCCGAGTTCTACATGGGGAAGAAGGCGGCGGTCGGCGTTGCTCTCCTCGCCCACGTGCTCTCTCGCCGGCTATCCAGGAATATAGATATTATAGATACCAACCCAGCACGAATATGACTGGCACGTTGGTCGGTTCAAACTTGATGTCACTCGAGTTCTACATGGGGAAGGAGGCGGCGGTCGGCGTTGCTCTCCTCGCCCAAGTGCTCTCTCGCCGGCTATCCAGGAATATAGATATAATAGATACCAACCCAGCACGAATATGACTGGCACGTTGCGCGGTTTAAACCTGATGTGACTCGAGTTCTGCATGGGGAAGGAGGCGGCGGTCGGCGTTACTCTCTTTGCCTACGTGCTCTCTCGCTGGCTATCCAGGAATATAGATATTACAGATATCAACCCAGCACGAATATGACTGGCACGTTGGGCGGTTCAAAGTTCGTGTGACTCGAGTTCTACATGGGGAAGGAGGCGGCGGTCGGCGTTGCTCTCCTCGCCCACGTGCTCTTTCGCCGGCTATCCAGGAATATAGATACTATAGAAACCAACCCAGCACGAATATGACTGGCACGTTGGGCGGTTCAAAGTTCGTGTGACTCGAGTTCTACATGGGGAAGGAGGCGGCAGTCGGCGTTGCTCTCCTCGCCCACGTGCTCTCTCGCCGGCTATCCAGGAATATAGATACTATGGAAACCAACCCAGCACGAATATGACTGGCACGTTGCGCGGTTTAAACCTGATGTGACTAAAGTTCTGCATGGGGAAGGAGCCCATGTGCTCTCATGCCGCCAGTCAAAGAATATAGACATTATAGATACATACCCAGCACGAATATGACTGGTACGTTGGGCGGTTCAAACTTGACGTGACTAGAGTTCTGCATGGGGAAGGAGGCGGCGGGCGGCGTTGCTCTCCCCGCCCACGTGCTCTCTCGCCGGCTGTTCGGGCCACCTGTGCTCTCCAACTCTTCATTGTTTTGTTCTACAAGGAAACAGTGTTATGGTTAGTGGTCTGTTGATGTCAGTACTGATGGAAATCACGCGACTAACGAAGATGCCATTTAACTGTTTAGTTGTTTAGTTTCCAACCAGTTTTCCCTTTTATATGGATATTCAGTGTTTGTTTTTCTTTTTTTTGTCTTTTTGTTATGTTTTGTCCAATCTTAATTTTTATTATTATTATTTATGTTAGTATATTATATGATTTTTATACAATTTTTAAAATATAATTAAACTTAATTTAATGTAATAATTACTGAAATATAATAACGCCGTTAGTATCTAATATGTACATAATGAGTTTCTGTAATTGACCTTAAGATTGTATCTATATTTTATTGTATTAAATTTCACAAAAAACGCTTTAGAAACTTTGTTAAAGATAAATAAATAAATAAACTAAAGTTGATGCAATCATTGACTAAGCGATCAGCTTACGCAGCTCCGTGGATCGTCCAATGTACGTTTTGGCCAGTTTTCTGCCGCGATTTTGTTCGTGTTGTTTTGGTATTTAATATCGTTGGATACAAGATTTCGCATGCTTCTGTAGTACCTATAGGCTTTGGTAGCAAATATAGAAACTTAAATGTAGTAGCTAATTATCAGACATGTCGTAAAAAAGGTGCTAATTGAAATCGCAATCGAAATGTTCCGTTAATAACAATAGTCAAAGATCCAAAGGCCGCCAGACCTTACTTATTTTCTGATGGATAAAATATGGATAATCAAGTAGTATTAGTGTGCATTATTAACGTATAAATACTCGATAACTTGTGCTGTGCGCGAATTCTCAGATATTACGTGATAGAGGTACTTAAAAATTTCACTTATTTTACTTAAATTCTACGCATTTATTTTGTAGAGAATATTGTAAACAATTTGAAATTGATATATAACAAGAAACGATGATTCTTGGAAAGAAGTTAAATTATGTGCATCTATTATTGTTGCGACTAACGTGGTAGTGAGTGCTGCCTTTATGAATTCGATAAAGTTATTAGGAAAATAAATTTAACGCATATCTATACTTTATAATTTATAAAGCTGCAGAGTTTGTTTGTTTGTTTGAACGCGCTAATCTCTGGAACTACTGGTCCGATTTGAATGATTCTTTCAGTGTTGGGTAGTCCATTTATCGCGGAAGGCTATAGGCTATATTTTGTTTTTCAAAATTAGGGATCCGTAATAAAATTGCTATTTTGTAACACAAGGTGTAAAATCGAAAACCTTTTTTTGCGTGCGCTGCAAGAACTATTGACAATAGAACAAAATGATGTACTACGGGTTTGTAGATCTCATTAAGACCTACAAAAAAGTCCGCGAGAACATATATGTAGCTATCATGGTTTAATCACAATAACCGATTTTGTGTTCAAAATAATTATTAAATCGTCTGAAGAAAAAAAAACTACGTTAAATACCTATGTATCGTAATATTAATCGTTATCGAAATTAAGCATTATGTTATCAAGAGTATTTATGTAGAAGTATCTATATATTTTATCTCGGTATTTCCACGGAAACGAGAAAAACGCCGATGAAACCGCGGTGCACGGCTAGTATATTATATTTTTTTTGTAAACACAACTAGGTATTGTATGATTCTTATTCACTCATAAAGGTTGCCCTACACGTGTCCTCCGGGTGGTGCAAAACGAACCTCAACGCCGAGCCTTGGGCGGCGGTCAACTAACCCGACACTACTGGCCTAACAAGCCAGTCTTCTGTGGATATTAGGAAATGAATACCCACGCCCGCAACCGCTATTTAGCGATCGGGAGTCTTGGCTTAATCGCCTGGATAGTGAGGAAGAAATCCTCTATAAAATAATTACCCCAACTCCACGGTGGGATACGCGCCAATGGAATGCATGGCTGATGGGTGATCAGTCACTAGCGCCGACCTCGACGGACCCGGCAAACGTCGCTGTAGTGAGCCTTCTTGGGGGAATGGGCGTCACCCCTCAAGTGACCTTTTATATCGACCCGACTCGTGGGAACAAAAATGAATATTAACAGAGAAAAAGAAAACAAAAATCAAAAAATGATACAACAAACACTTCATAAAAGTTTTTATAAACATACTAGGAGTTATTCCCTTAGCACGCTACCAGATGAAATATCGATACAAAACATCACCAATGGAAAGTCGAATACAGATATAATAGCAACTAGCAGCAACCCAAACAATGAACAAGACAACTCATCATGGCAAAATGATCAGGTGCCTATGAAAAGGAAAGCTGAAGGAAGTCCTGAAATCACGAACAAAAACAAGAAAATACTGAAAACAACATACGCAATCCCAACTCAAAATAGATTCCAAGCCTTTGATAGTGCAGATGGGGATGAACCTTCTAAAGAATATAAAGAGCCTAAACCACCGAAGCCAGAACCCATATTCGTTACTGGAGTCATAGACATAAGTAAATTAAAAGACCTCCTCGCAACTATTGAAGAGACTGATAAATATACTATGACAACCCTGAGATCTGGTCACATAGTAAAAGTGATGCCAGCAGATATAGACACATACAAAAGAATAAGAGCTAGTTTTTTAGAGAAAGATGTAAGCCACTATACCTACAGACTCAAAAGTGAAAGAGCCTATCGAGTAGTCCTTCGAGGCCTACACTCATCTGAAGACACCGAAGTAATAAAAAAGGAGCTTCATGAACTTGGACATGACGTCAGACACATAACAAATATAAGACACAGAAACTCAAAACAACCAATGCCCATATTTTACCTAGACCTAGAACCAAAATACAACAATAAAGACATTTTCAAAATTAATAAATTAAGCCACGTTAAAATCACATTTGAAGCGCCATATAAAAAATTGGACGTTCTGCAGTGCAAGAGATGCCAGAGGTTTGGACATGCCAAGAACCAATGCAATAGACCATTCAGATGCGTCAAATGCGGTAAAGATCACCCCACATCAAGTTGTTTAAAGAAGCCTGATACTGAGGCGACCTGCGCAAATTGTCAAGAAAAGCACCCGGCGAGCTACAAAGGCTGCACAAAATATAAACAATATCGAGACTTAATTATGAAAAACACCACTAATCGAAACAGAAACCCTGAACAAAAAACAGAACAACAATCAACCATTAAACTTAAAACCACTGAACAAGAAAGCAACCAAAACAAAGAAAACTTGCAAACAAAATATAACACATATGCACAAGCAACAAGGGCCAACAACTCAGCAGGAGCAAAAACCGACATCAAGGAGCCAAACAATTTTGTCGAGGTACTAGATGTGATGTTTGAAAAATTACAAAACATGATGAATATTATGTTAGACAACATGATGGATCGAATGATCCAATTAATCACAAGTCTTATGAAACATCCCTAAACTTACGGGTAATGACCTGGAATGCCAATGGACTGACCGAACGCAGACTGGAACTTGAACTTTTCCTAAAAACTGAAAGAGTAGATGTCGCCTTAATCACAGAAACGCGTTTTACCCTAAAAACTGAATTTAGCTTGCAGAACTACAAAGTATACACAACAAACCACCCCTCTGGTAACTCTCATGGTGGAACTGCAATTATTATAAAGGATAACATCAAACACTATCCTCTTGAAGAATACCAAACTGAAAAGATACAGGCTACCTCAGTCAGAATCCAAGATAATAAAACAGAAACCACATTATCTGCAATATACTGCCCACCCAGGCACATTATTACTTCAAATAATTTTATAACTTATTTCAAAACTCTAGGTAACAGATACATTTGCGGCGGTGACTGGAATGCAAAACACATTTTTTGGGGCTCTAGGCTAACTACACCACGTGGTCGCCAACTATATACAGCTATGAATGACCTTAGCCTTCACTGCGCTTCACATGGAAAACCTACATACTGGCCTGCAGACACAAACAAGGTGCCAGACTTGCTGGATTTCTTTATGATCAAAAATATCTCGCTAAGACAAATAAGCATCGAGGAATGTATCGACCTTTCGTCGGATCATACACCTGTTATAATCAACGTCCAGTGTACGCCTATTCAGGTTGAGGGTCCTCAAAGACTTTATAATAATAAAACTAACTGGGACATTTACAGGGCCACAATAGCAGAAAACATTAATCTAATCTCGCCACTAAATAATGCGGACATCATCGAATCTACTATTGAGTCTTTTGTCAAGTTAATCCATCAAGCAGTCAAAGACTCAACACCCCCAGTAAGACCAAAAGTAGTTAGCGATTTTTCCTATTCTAAAATGATAAAACTTAAAGTACAAGAAAGAAGGCATCTGCGGAAAATTTGGCATTCCACTAAATATCCACAGGACAAAAAAGCCTTCAACAAGGCATCTGAAGAACTTAAAACCATGATCTTCCAAACAAACAATGATCGCCTGCAAGAAGAACTGGTAAATCTTACTCCATACGTAGACACTAACTACTCTCTGTGGAAGGTAACAAAAAAGCTCAAGAGGCCTGTAGTGCATATACCCCCAATAAAAACCACGGAGGGTAAGTGGGCTAGAACAGATCTCGAAAAGGCCCAAGTGTTCGCTGAACATCTTAAATCTGTGTTTCAACCACTTCCTAGTAACGACTCCGAGCATGACAGAGAAGTTAGCGAATACCTACTCTCACCATCACAAATGTGTATACCAATGGAAAGTGCTAGCCCCAGTGAAGTACTTAAAGAAATATTAAATTTGCAGGATGGTAAAGCACCTGGATACGATTTAATTGACGCGCAATTGCTAAAGCAACTTCCTAAAAAGGGATTGATGTACTTAACAGCAATTTTTAACGCCTGCCTAAGGCTTAACATCTTTCCCGCTCAGTGGAAAATAGCGCAGATCATAATGATACCCAAACCAGGCAAATTACTTCATGAAGCTAGTTCTTACAGACCTATAAGCCTTCTCCCTGTAATGGGGAAACTTCTAGAAAAAATAATCCTGAACAGGATGCGCTTCTATTTACCGGCAGTGGTGCCAC